TGAATTTACCTTAACTGTGTTTAATTATTAAAATCACAATAGTTTTTTACATTATGCAATAAAATTTGTAATAGTTTTCTTTTAGAGACAGAAAAGTGAATTCTGTAATTGAACCGTAACTATATTAGAATCTTAGAATCAAAAGATACATGCTGCTATATAAAGCAAATTAAAATTTATTCTAACTGCTATAAATCAGTTTCTCTATCATTGTTGGAACAATCAAGAATAGAAAAATTATAACTTATAATATATATTATAAAATTTTATAAAAGTATATATTATTATATTATACATGCCTATATACAGATATATAATCATAAAGTGCCTCTCCCGTCAAAATAAAGGTAAAAACTAGACGCCATTGACTGTCGCCGCAAACTAGCAGCCTCGAGTCGGTGACAAAGTCACAACACCAGCTTATGCAAACTAAGAAGTGTTCATCTAGTGAACAAGGTTTCGAGCTGAAAGCCCTCGTCAGCCTAAGGTGGACTTTATTCCATGAGATCCATACGGGATCTAATGGAATCTTCACAATCTGCCAAAGAGGTTTTTAGCTGGCAAGGTGGCTGGGCCAAATTTATGGCCAAAATATAGATGGAAATATAGATCAACTTCCTTCAGGAAAATTCCCCATCTATATAAATATATATATTTTATTCATAAAATAAAATATCATATATTGGATTGAATTAAAGATTTATTTGCCAATATTTCGGTTGGCTGAACGCCAACCTTTGTCGAGCATTACATTTTTATATAAACAAACTCAGCGCCGCATAGTGTCATAATATCACAGTTAAAATATATTTTTCATAATGCAAAGGAGAGGGAATTTGTACATGAAAAAAATTATTATAAAAATTACAACCAGAATAAGTTGAATATCTTATAATATTAAAAAAGAAAACTTATAAGTCTATCCTTATTTTAAATTTAATTAAGGATTGCTCTATATACAGAATGATATATATATTGGGAGTACAAATAAGTTTTGAGGGATTTGCAAAAGAAGCCACAACAAATCTCTATATATATAAAAGTCAATTCCTGTCTGTCTGTCTGTCTGTTTCGCGATAAACTCAAAAACTACTGAACCAATTGGTTCCAAATTTTGCATGTCGCTTTTTATAAACCTGAGGAAAATTTTTGGCTACATTTTGCTTATAATTTTTGGCTATTTCTTTTTTTAATTTGAAGAACTATTTTTTTACGCGGAGTAATCCGGAATGGAATGAATACCCAAATAAGGCCATTTTGTATACGCATCGGTGGCTCAGTGGTAGAATGCTCGCCTGCCACGCGGGCGGCCCGGGATCGATTCCCGGCCGATGCATTTTTTTTAACAATTTTTAAAACTCATTTATATTATATCTTCTATATATATAAAAATAAATGTTTGTATGTTTGTTTGTTTGTTGGTTGGTTTGTATGTCCGGTATACAATTTCGCAGTAGTTCACTAATTCAAACCAAAATTTCCATACATAGGTAAAAAAATATAACACATATAATATAAATATTTATATAATAACTGCTCTAATTTGAAATATTTGTTAGGTTTTATTTATTTATATATTTTCATTTTTAGATATAACTGATCTAATTCGTCGTTTAAAATAACTGCTCTTGAAATATTTGGTATGTTTTATTTATTTATATATATTTTCATTTTTAGATATAACTGATCTAATTCGCCGTTTAAAATAACTGCTCTAATTCGAAATATTTGGTATTTATTTATTTATATATTTTAATTTTTAGATATAACTGATCTAATTCTTCGTTTAAAATAGTTCGCTTAATAACACATATAATATAAATATTTATATAATAACTGCTCTAATTTGAAATATTTGGTAGGTTTTATTTATTTATATATTTTCATTTTTAGATATAACTGATCTAATTCGTCGTTTAAAATAACTGCTCTTGAAATATTTGGTATGTTTTATTTATTTATATATATTTTCATTTTTAGATATAACTGATCTAATTCGCCGTTTAAAATAACTGCTCTAATTCGAAATATTTGGTATGTTTTATTTGTGTTCACTCTATTTCTATTTATTTGAAGTATTATAATTTCCATGTTTCAAAAACATATTTCAAAAAGGTTGTTAGAAATATGTAAGGCCTGAAATAGCTTTACATGCGAATATTTATGATGCCAAGCGTAGCTTAATAACTGCTCTTGAAATATTTGGTATGTTTTATTTATTTATATATATTTTCATTTTTAGATATAACTGATCTAATTCGCCGTTTAAAATAACTGCTCTAATTCGAAATATTTGGTATTTGGTATTTATTTATTTATACTCTGCTTAGCTCACGAACAGCGCCCTCTATCAAGGTTATAAATACGTTTAAAATCGATATCTTATCAAATTTTATTAATAATATTTTTCGCTTAATAATTAGAATACTTGATCTAAATCGAAATATTTATAGACGCTCGCTCGATTTGAAGATTTACATATGTGTATATCGTAACTAATCTGACTGTAAAGTTTGGAGCGGGGCATTTCACAAAAGTAACGTCCACGGTGCCAATTTATAATTGTAACGAATAGTATTTGAATAAAAACATTTAATGGGGTAAAACCCGGGCGTTGCCCGGGTCATTCGTCTAGTATTATATAAATAGCATCGGACCTTGTAAGGTTTCATGTTAAGGCATCATCATTTCCCTAAAAAAATCAGAAGAAGTCTTTTCACTCAAGTGTAAGGAACTTTTTTTTGGGTGCTCTAACCATGTCAACCTTTTTGCCAACAAAACACAATTTGCGGGAAGCGCTGCTTTTTTTGTTTTAATTTGAAGAAAAGTGCAACTGATGGACATCGATTGCTGTGTGAGGCATATGCTAAACATGCTCTATCAATAAAATCATGTGAGTACTGGTTTCGGCGTTTAAAAAGTGGCGATTTTGACACCAGAAACAAAGAACGCGGAGGGAGGCCAATAAAGTTCGAAGACGCTGAGTTGGAGGCTTTATTGGACGAAGATTCAAGCCAAACTCAAGAGGAGCTCGCTGAAACCTTGGGAGTGACTCAACAAGCGATTTCGAACCGTCTCAAGGTCATGGGTATGGTGCAAAAACAAGGAAATTGGGTTCCATATGAACTCAAGCCAGGAAACATCGAGCGCCATATTTGCACGTGCGAACTACTGCTCAAAAGACAAAATCGGAAGGGTTTTTTGCATCGAATCGTGACGGGGGACGAAAAGTGGATTCACTACGACAACCCAAAGCGCAGAAAATCGTGGGTTAAGCCCGGTCATGCATCAACTTCAACGGCCAAACCGAATATTCATGGCAAGAAGCTAATGCTGTGCATCTGGTGGGATCAGCTCGGAGTGATCTACTATGAGCTACTTCAGCCTAACGAAACCATCACTGGAGAACGTTACCAACAACAATTGATGCGATTAAGCCGAGCATTGAAGATTAAACGCCCACTATATGCCAAAAGACATGACAAGGTGATCTATCAGCACGACCACGCTCGGCCACATGTTGCAAAAGTTGTCAAGGAGACTTTGGAGGCGCTTCAATGGGATGTCCTACCCCACCCGCTGTATTCACCAGACATTGCTCCTTCAGACTACCACATGTTCCGTTCGATGACACATGGCCTGGCCGAGCAGCACTTCACTTCTTACGAAGAGGCGAAAAATTGGGTCAATGTTTGGATCGCCTCAAAGACGAGGAATTTTTTCGACACGGAATTCGTATGCTGTCTGAAAGATGGGAAAAAGTCGTAGCTAAAGATGGACAATACTTTGAATGAAATATATTGTACTGATTTCTCTGAATAAAGCTTCGAATTTATAAAAATATCCCTCAAAACTTATTTGTACTCCTAATATATATATTTATATATTATATAAAAATGTTTATTTATTTTAAAATTATATAACATCTAAGGCAAACTACTCTGTTAAGACGACCGCCATAGGTCGCCGCTTTCCCTTTATGAATCCGTTGTTGTTTCCCGTTGGCCGGCTCAAATATTTTTGTAGATATGTAGATAGGTATTTTATTTTATTTTTTCTATTCGCCTTAAAACAGGTAGTACTTTATCAAATTCTGTTTTATATATATATATTCATTAGCACAATTAAAGAAAATTGTGATTCAAACTTCATTTTATTAATATTTATTACTACGACCGCAAAACAATATCGTAGAAAATACTCGTAGAATACTCATGTGTCCAAAGTACAATCAAGCAACAGCTAATAAATCTATATAACTAATTAACAAATCAACAGCAGAAAATCATCTTTAATATAATATATATTTTATATTAAAATATAATTTCATTTAAAAATATATTTCATAGATTCAAATATTCTGTTTAAATCGACCGCCAGAGGTCACTCTTCCCCTATAAAAACTCACTGTTGTTCTTTCCATATGGCCGGCTCAAAACTTTTGTACAATATGTAAATAATCTTTGGTTTTTCTTATTCTATTCGCCTTAAGCCAGGCATTACTTTAATCAAATTATGTTTTTACAGATTCTTTTAGTTCAATTAAATCAATTACTGATCAAGACTATTTTTAGTATTTTACTTTAAAGATTTCAACCACGACTGCAATTACCATAATCCTCAACATGATCAAAAATCAAACATAAAATCTCTATTCATTTTTATATAATATAAATATGCAACGACAAAGTCATAATTGAAGAGAGTGATACCTCTTTAGGTATATGGATATCATCCACCCGTAACTTGGTGTTGTTTATATAAGAAAAAAAGAATTTTCCTGATTGACAAACTCAAATTTGCTGATGGCTTGCCTAATCTGTCGAAATAACTTTAAACTAATGGTATTTATGTAGAACGACCTTTGAAATTCATCCCGCTGGTGTTTCTTTTCAAAATCGAAATTTATTTTAAGAAGAATTAACGATTATTTTCAACCTTAGGAATGAAGTATGAAAGGATGAATTGTAAAGAGTAATGATAAACGGAAAAATAAAAGTGTCCAGGGATGGGAATCGAACCCACGTGCTTACCGTGCAGATGCCATGTCCACTAGGCTACCCTGGACATATTTCAAAGTTCGTTCTACAATCATAAGCCGCATTATATTGTATTAATGGTATTTTATATTATTATTTCATTATATTTAACAATTTTTTTTCTTGATGAATGAAGAAAGTGTTAACACGCTGACAAGGACCAACAGCTTGAAACGCATACCAGGTTACCATTTCTTGATTTATCAAGATAAGGTATTTCGCCGATATTCTAGGAATAATTAAAAGTCACGATTAATTGTTATTTATTTTGACAAAGATGGTGCAAACTATCAGAAAATTACGTTTTCACGATCAGGATATGCTTTTTTCTTTATTTATATTCAAATATCAGTACAATTTCACACATTTTTACTAGTTTTCCAAATATAAATATATTTCTATATGTTTGTTTATCAAAAGATAATTTTTCTAGACAGCATACCTTCAATTAATTTAATTTCTAAAATGGAAAACCATAAAAATCGCTATCAAATACCCTTACTGTGGATTTCATCCTGAGAAAAAATCAGAAGTTAATTTGGCCCAATACAAAACTATACGTAATTCTATAAAATACGCAAAGTGTACACCAATACCTCGCTTTGCGTCGTTTCGTTTTGCGTTTTTTTTTCGAAGTTACGTCGCTGCTTAATTTTTACTGATTTTCACTGTGCGTCGTTAGATTTTCGAAGTTGGGTTGTTTTGGATTCGAGTCTTTAATATATTTTTTGAATTTTTTTTCCTAAAATATGACAACACCTTTGATTTTGATTGCGCCTTCACATATTTTCACTTTGCGTCGTTTCAATTTGCGTCTTGTTTTTTTGTAACGTAACCCCGACGCAAAGTGAGGTATGGGTGTACTATTCGCTCCTAGATTATTTTATAATCAAGACCATGACGAAAGCATAAATAATAATTTTTAACCTTGAACGTTCTGAATATGTTAAAATTAATATTGAGGGTCATTCATTATTCTTATATATCCTAGTGATATATAGAGATCCTATAAATAACCCAACAAATACCTTCCTTAAAATACCAAGGAGGTCTCTAGACTAACTCCCTAGTTTACTAACTTTAATATAACGCACACTGTTTACAAGCCATTGAGAGGTTAGTTTCATTTAGTTAAGTTTGGGAAAGGCTAAGGCCATCTTAGTAAAGATTAGGTTTAGTTAAGATTCAGGTTAAGTCAGATTTGATTCTAGTTAGGTTCAGTAAACAAAGAAGCTTGTCTCGAGACCAACCAAAATCACCTGAATAAAATAAAAAAAGGCGATATCTGACATAATCTAAACTTAAACAAAACAACATCTTCAGGAGAGACCACGATTATCACAATTTTTAATCGGTCTCTCAAGAGAGGTTCTATTGTTTACGAAAATATCTTCTGGGAATATATACCACATTTATACATACCATCAAGTTCTATTTAAATAACGAAATAAATTTATCTTCCAGAAAAGAGAGAGCGAGCAGAAGACCTTATTTATTTCCACACGGTTTTAATTACATTTTCATAAAAGAGGTTGAAATCTCAAGAGGATAAAATAGACAACCAGATTTAAATCTGCGCAGTTGAAAGATTCTCTCCAAGGAACTGATGATGTAGCGTCTCTACGAACGTCCAGAAAAATCTAACGGCCCTTGTTAATGACACTAAAGAAAAGGATAAATTATTGAGGAAGAATTTAATTACCTTCTAGATGTAAATTATCCTCCGCTTTAATTTACATAAAGGCTATAAGAGGCATTATAACTGCAGTTCGTGCTGCAGGGCGCCCTTATCTTGCTTGCCACCCATTAGCCTGACCTCGGTAAAAAGGAAACCTTTTCCCTTTCTCTCACTCAGTTTTACTTCCTTTTGAAAACTCCTTTTTCCTCTTTTATGAACTAAATTACCTTCAATTTTTATGAAAAGGATTTTAAATATAAATTTGAGCTTCTTAACTTTTTTCTTATTATATTATTTTATTCACAATTTGATATTAAAATAGAATGGTCCTATGAATTATTTTGAAAAACATATTTTTTTATTATAAAGATTTATCTTGATTTAAAGCCGTAATCTTTTAGTCTCTAATACAATTAGTCTATATAAATTAATTGAAATAATACGACGTAATGCATTTTTTTAAATACCCAATTATAGAAAAGATTTTGATATCATAAATATTATTTAAATACTATATTTTATCATAATTGTAAGAAAATAGAAATTTGATCAAAATTAATGTTATACATTTATTTAGAAAGTGATATGTGAAATCATGCTACGATAAAGTGGATAAATTAAGATAAACTAATTTCCGGATAGCGAACTAAATGTTGCTTACGACCTGCGCCATCTTTCGGAATAAATATCAACTAGGCGTTGAATTTTAATATTGAAGAATATTGGCTAAACACTATTTCTTGATTTAATCAAGCTATCCATATAAAAATAGTGATATTTCGAGATTTTTTAATACATTTTATTTAAATAAAATAATGAATATTAATATGGCTTACTTATAAAGAGATGGAAAATTGAGATTAAGTTGGAATTCGATTTCGTTCAGATGGCGTATATTCATTGGATAGCTTATAAGATAGCACGTGACTTCTACTTTCCTATATAAAGATGAATAACCGATTTCAATATTGCCTTAGAATGCTTCGACACATAGCATGTAGAAGGCGCAACAATTGTCACACCCTGATTTCAATTCCTTGAGCCTTCGCGGCTTGCGGCTTCTAAAACCATCGGCCAGATCTTGCAGCCATGTTACCACCCTTATCAATTCCTTGAGCCTTTACAATGTTCTCAGCTTCTAAATAAAGTATTTCAGATTTTAATTTCTTTCTTACGATCTGATCAATTATTTGAGCCTTTGCAATGTGCGGATTCTAAAAATGATATCCAGATATTGCATACGTTGTTTCGACTTGATCAATTTCTTGTGCCTCTGCAATGTTCTCAGCTTCTTAAAAATAGTAACCCGATCTTCAGACGTTCTTACGATCTGATCAATTACTTGAACCTCTTCAATATTTGGCTTATAAAAAGAGTATCCCGATCTTCAGACGTTCTTACGATCTGATCAATTTCTTGAGCCTCTTCAATATTTGGCTTATAAAAATACTATCCCGATCTTCAGACGTTCTTACGATCTGATCAATTCCTTGAGCCTCTTCAATATTCGGCTTATAAAAATAGTATCCCGATCTTCCGGCGTTCTTACGATCTGATCAATTCCTTGAGCCTCTTCAATATTCGGCTTATAAAAATAGCATCCCGATCTTCAGACGTTCTTATGATCTGTTCAATTCCTTGAGCCTCTTCAATATTCGGCTTATAAAAATAGTATCCCGATCTTCAGACGTTCTTACGATCTGATCAATTCCTGAGAGCCTCTACAATATTCGGCTTATAAAAATAGTATCCCGATCTTCAGACGTTCTCACGATCTGATCAATTCCTTGAGAGCCTCTACAATATTCGGCTTATAAAAATAGTATCCCGATCTTCAGACGTTCTTACGATCTGATCAATTCCTTGAGCCTCTACAATATTCGGCTTATAAAAATAGTATCCCGATCTTCAGACGTTCATACGATCTGATCAATTCCTTGAGCCTCTTCAATATTTGGCTTATAAAAATAGTATCCCGATCTTCCGGCGTTCTTACGATCTGATCAATTCCTTGAGCCTCTTCAATATTCGGCTTATAAAAATAGTATCCCGATCTTCAGACGTTCTTACGATATGATCAATTCCTTGAGCCTCTTCAATATTCGGCTTATAAAAATAGTATCCAGATCTTACAGACATTCTTCCGAACTGATCAATTCCTTGAGCCTCTGCAATATTCTCAGCTTATAAAAATAGTATCCCGATCTTCAGACGTTCTTACGATCTGATCAATTCCTTGAGCCTCTTCAATATTTGGCTTATAAAAATACTATCCAGATCTTGCAGCCGTTCATCCGAATGATCACTTTCTTGAGCCTTTTAAATTTGAGGCTTATGAAAAAATTGTATTTATATCTTGCAGACGTTGTTTCGACCTGATTAATTTCTTGAACCTTCGCGATTTCCGGCTTCAAAAAATAATATGAAGATCTTTCAACCGTTCTTCTGATCTGATAAATACTATAAGTCTCTGTCCCGGAGTGACATCCTAATCAATTCCCGAGCCTTTGCAAGGTACGGCTTCTAAAAATATCATCCAGATCTTCATACTTTTTTTTCGGCCTGATTGATTTCTTGAGCCTTTGCAATGTGCGCACCTATAAATAACATCCAGATATTGCAGTTGTTCTTCCGAAATAATCACTTTCTTTAGCCTTTTCAATTTGCTGTTTTTGAGAAAATAGCATCTAGATCTTGCAGACGTTGTTTCGACCTGATCAATTCCTTGAGAGAGAGCCTCTGCAATATGCGGCTTCTAAAAATATTATCCAGATATTCCAGCCGGGGTGATATTCTGATCAAGTCCTAAGTTTTTGCAATGTGCGGATTCTAAAAATATTATCCAGATATTCCACCGGGGTGATATTCTGATCAATTCCTAAGTTTTTGCAATGTGCGGCTTCTAAAATTATTATCCAGATATTCCAGCCGGGGTGATATTCTGATCAATTCCTAAGTTTTTGCAATGTGCGGCTTCTAAAAATATTTTCCAGATATTCCAGCCGGGGTGATATTCTGATCAATTCCTAAGTTTTTGCAATGTGCGGCTTCTAAAAATATTATCCAGATATTCCAGCCGGGGTGATATTCTGATCAATTCCTATGTTTTTGCAATGTGCGGCTTCTAAAAATATTATCCAGATATTCCAGCCGGGGTGATATTCTGATCAATTCCTATGTTTTTGCAATGTGCGGCTTCTAAAAATATTATCCAGATATTCCAGCCGGGGTGATATTCTGATCAATTCCTAAAAGTTTTTGCAATGTGCGGCTTCTAAAAATATTATCCAGATATTCCAGCCGGGTTGATATTCTGATCAATTCCTAAGTTTTTGCAATGTGCGGCTTCT